ATTTGCGCACGCTGTAACTAGGGTGTCGTCAGCGTAACACAACGTCGCACACCCAATCGGCATGTACAACCTGAGGATCTCGTCATAGCCGATGTTCCACAGGGTCGGCCCCAGAACCGAACCCTGTGGAACCCCACACGTGACCGTACCACGGATCACCCGCTCTCTGCGGTTCACATAGATCAAACCGCGCCTCGACAGATAATTATGAAGGATGCCCCGGAGATATCCCGGGACACCCTTCTCTTCCAGCGCCCTCCTGATAACCGGCCACGGGAGGGAGTTGAAAGCGTTCGCGATGTCTAACGACACCGCGACCACCACCCCCCGCCCCCCCGCGTGCCCTCTCTAACGCGCTCCCGCAGGCTCCATATCGCATCCACGGTGGAGCGCCTTTTCCTAAACCCGTACTGTCCGTCGGCTATGACGTTTTCCTCCTCCAAGTATGCGTGCAACCTGCCCACCACCACCCTTTCGAGGAGCTTCCCCGCCTCGCTTAATAGGCAGATTGGCCTATACGAGGACGGGGTTCCCTCGGGCTTTCCAGGTTTTTTTATGAGGACCAACCTGGCCTCCTTCCACTGGTGTGGGAAGTGCCCTCCCCTGAGACATTCGGTGAAGCATCTGGCCCACAGAGGAGCCAGGTGCTTCACCGTGCTCTTCACTACTCCTCCTACTATGCCATCAGGCCCCGGAGCCTTTCCGGCCTTGACCTTACTGCAGGCCTCGAGAACCTCGACTGATGTTACGTTTAGTTCTTCGTTCCACTCGGTGGCTATCTCCCCCCCTGGCGGAGTCGAATCCATAGGGAAGAGCGTCGCTACAATCTCTTCCGCTGTCTCAGGGGGGAGCACCTCCAACACGGATGCGCTTCCCGAGTGTAGCTTACGCAGGACCACCCTGTATGGCGTGCCCCAGGGATCCCTTTCGAGGTCGTCGACCAGCTCTTTCCAAAGCTTCGCCTTGGATCGAGCGATCGACGACCTGAGATCCCTACGCCTGTCCCTGAGCTCGCCCCAGAGGGTCCGCATCTCCTCCGAAGATACATTAGCTCTGGCTCGCGCACGCGTTACTCTCCTCCTAGATCGATTGCAAGAGCGGCGGAGTTCCGCGATTTCCTCGCTCCACCAGTACGCATTAGGTCTCTTAGATGGTCCTCTCCTCGGCATTGATACATCGGAGATATCACGTAGTGCCTTATCCATATAATTGGCTCCTCCAGCGGCATCCCCCGGAGTTCCTCTCCAAGCCGCGAAGATTGCCGCCGCCTCCAGCAGGTCAGTGTCCGTCTTAGCAGTCACCCACCTGGGGAAGGTCCGCAAAGCCGTTTTCCCAACCTCCGGGCCTGTGATGTGAGCCCCTATCTCCGTGATCACGTAGAGGTGGTCGGAGAGTGACTCCACCTCCTTCGCCACCCTCCATCCTGCAATTGACCTGGCAGCTGAAAGAGAAGCCAACGTCAGGTCCACTCTTGAGGTCCCGCGCGGATGTACACACGTCGGTTCATCTCCCTCATTTATCACTTGCAGTTCCGTTGAGGCCAGCCACTCCAGGAGGAGATCACCCCTCCTGTTGCGGCGTCCTCTGTCCCACGCAAATGCCCGGGCATTAAAGTCGCCGGCCACAATAACCGGATGCCCCACCACGTGCACTAGTTCCCCCTCAAGTTCGCGTAGGTCCGTCATAAACTCGGCTTCGCTCAGACTGGGGGGGAAGTAGCACGACACCACAATAGTGTCCCCCCAGTCCACGGCCGCGTACCTTTTCCCTCTCCATCGAGGCGAACAAGGTATTCTGGTCTGTGCCCATTGCCAGGTCACAGCTGCCGACGGCGGGCTGTCCAGCGAGGACAACCAGCGTCCATCGTCCGGGACCCTGTTAGGCTCCGATATAGCAACCAGGTCGAGTCCCAGCTCACCACTCACTCTGGCGACCATGTCCTGCGACGGTCTAGACCTGTTGACATTAATTTGTGCCAGTCTAGCCATCGCAGGTTTCCATGGCCTCCACTACCGCACTTGCCCCTTCACCAGGGGTCGGAGCTCCCCGATCAGCTCCGCTATCTTGTTCCGTCTCAGGGGTCACGTTCGTCTCCACTTCACTAGCCCTCTGTCCCGGTCCATTAAATGGCACGCACTCATTCGCGCCCGCTCGGTGCCCCGACGGCAGCCCTCTTCCCGCACACACCGGGCACTTTGGTGGTTTCCGACACCCGGCGGCTTTATGCCCGTCATTACCGCCGCACTGAAAGCACCAATTGGTGCGGTCCACCTGGCTGAGGCAGTTCGCCCTGGTGTGCCCCACGGCAAAGCATCGGAAGCATTGCAGCTTCCGCTTTGCCAGGGGCACCACCCATGGTCTAGCCCACTCTCACTCGACCGGCACTTAATAACTTATTGGCACAGGCCAGAGGGCACTGCACCCACACCACACTAAGGCCTCCTCTCCCGGGCCTAAGGGGGCCGACCCTAATGTCCGCAGTATGAGCCTGACCGTTTTTGGCCACTGCCTCGGCTACTTCATCGGCAGAGACGGATTGGTCTATGTCCATCAATCTGATCTCTGCTCTCCTCATTGGCCTCACTATTTGGACCTCCTCTCCAAATTGGCTTTCGGAGAGGACGTTCCTCAGTCTGCCTACAAGGGCCTCGGCCTTGGCCCCGGCTTCCTCACCTCCCGGTATTTCGACAAGGAGGCCGCCTGCTTGCGCCCTCCTTATTCGCGTATTCGATATGCCGAGGTCATCCAGTGAAATCTTGCTTCTCGCAAGCTTCATGACATGGTCTCCAAATCGGCATATGAGACGTCACCCGGCTTGTCCTTGTTCTCCTCACATTTAATAAGGACAGCCGCGGTTCTTGGTGCCCGGAACCTAATGTCCCTGACCACCGGTGGTCGTCGTCCCGCGTCTCCCGTCTCCCTCACACGAGGGCGAATCGCAACGTTAGCGGACGCAGGGCCTTTCGGTGCCCTGCCACTCGCACTCACGCCCGCGTCACTCTTGTTCGTGCCGGTCCGGCGCACTCCGGCGTTTGTGCTCCCCCCGGGGGGCGGGGGCACCACGCCTCGCCTAGGGTCTCTTTGGTCCTGCCTTACAACATTCGCATCAGAGGTCGCTCCTCCCTTCTGCTTCTTTCTCAGCCTCTTCCGC